TCTAATTTTCAGGGTCTCTCCCCTCATGTTTTTCACTGAATTGAAATGGAAACAAATCAAATGGAGAGGATAAACAGGTGGATTTCAATGCCAACTTCAGTGCACAGATAGACCTCAGGCAAACAAGGAGTTACTAACTAACGAGGAGCTCATACTCTGTTCAATTTAAAATAGCAACAGATTTTTAATTCAAAGCAATCTCTTTGAAAAATATTTCAAATTTAGAAAGTCTCTGTTAGTAAGAAAAATACTGTGGTAGTAAACACAGATAAATTTCTGAAATTGCAAGCAACTTTTTCTCAGTTCTGCATTAGTGCTTTTTATCATTTGACTTGACAGGATACTACATATACAAATTGGAAATAAAGCAAATGAAAAATAAATTATAGCAGTTTATCATTTCTTCTGTTAGTGTTTATACTATGCATAAAAATTTTATATTGTGAAAATTGATAGTCAATTTCAATTCATGGTTTTAGTTTGATCAAACATGTTTTATGAACAGTTCATTGCATAACATACTCCCCAAATTTTCTCACAGCATTTATTATGTACTCATGCAATATACAAAAGAAATAAAAACAAGCACTATGAGTTTATGCCTACAGAATAGGATAACAATATACAAAACAATAGAAACAGCATGCATGCATACATACATACATATGTCATTTCTTTTTAAAATATAAACAAAGCCTTGGCTGATGTGACTCAGGTGGATGTCTTCCTATGAACTGAAAAGTCCCCAGTGTGATGCCTGGTCAGGGCACATGCCTGGGTTGTGGGTTTGGTCCCCAGTTGGAGTCAGTGCAGGAGGCAACTGATTGATGTATCTCTCACATTGATGTTTCTGTCCCTCTATTTCTCCCTCCCTTCCCCTATCTATAGCATCAATGAAAGAAAAAATTTAAATATTAACATCTGTTTATAAGTGCTATATGCAAAACCCAAAATTAGCAGTAGGAGAAATATAGTGCAGTAGTTATTTTCACAGTCCACATGATTACATCAGGTTTGATGACTCACTTTCTAGATTTACAGAACTCAACCATGAATTCCATGGCTATGGTTTATTACAATGAAAAGGGGCAAAACAAAATCAGAGGAAAAAACCATGAGACAAAGTACAGAGGAAACGAGTCACAAACTTCTAAGAGTTTTCTCTTAATGGAATCACAAAGGATGGGCTTAATTTCTTCACCAACTAATTTTGACATGTGTGAAGTGCTGTCTAACAAGGAAGCTCATGAGAGACCCAGTGCTTAAGGTTTCTGTTGGGTTACTGGTTGCATAGACATTCTGTGTCTGGCATACAACCAAATTCTAGACTCCCAGAAGGAAGGCAGATGTTCAGCATAAACCTCTTTGTTTATAAAATAGTTGAAGCACAACCCTGGCTGTTGTAGCTCAGTGGATTGAGCTCAGGCCCGCAAACCAAACAACCGTGGTTCAATTCCCAGTCAGGGTACATGCCTGGGTTGCAGGCCAGTTCCCAGCAGGGGACACCCAAGTCACAACCACACATTGATGTTTCTCTTCCTCTCTCTCCTTCTCCTCCCCCATCTCTAAAAATGAATAAATAAAGTCTTAAAAATACCCTCTTTAAAATAGCTGAAGCGCAGTGAGCCACTCTTATCAGTTGGAAGATGATGGGAATATATCTAAAATCCAAGTTCCCAGGTGCCAGACAAAAACCAACTTGCAATCAGGCCTTTTTAAGGATGGTGGTTTAGCCCTGCTATTGTTGAGTCTCTTCTACACAAAGTTAATAGCACGGTGTTAAAATCGGATGACCCTGGGTTCATACCCACATTCTGCTACTTACTGATGTGATCTTGAACAAGTTATCTAAATCCTTTATACACCTCATTTTTTTCAACTGTTACATAATTTTAATTAGGCAATTATATCATCAGATTCCATTAAACCACATCAGATGACCACAAAAACCATATGCAAGAATGCAAATACAACTCTTAGCACAATGATTATGAAGAGTAATAGCTCAATAAATATTGATGAATAATAGTATATATGGCAGATGACTTCACAGAGCTTAGAATAGAATGTATGAACATGATTCAAACTAATGAAGTGGAAGGTAAACTTTTTTGTGTGTTGTTGTATATGTGTTACCAACTCTAAGTGCTATAGGAGTTCTAAGAGTGAGCAAACTCTGCAATATATAAGAACCCACAAAAGCTGCCTTGCCAGAGTGTGTATTCTTTTGCTACATGTTATGGAACCAGAACCATAAGACAGAGTAGCTGAGAAAAGTTTCCTTTAGAAAATAGAAGAAGCAACTAAAATATAGGTGCCAGTATTGAGATTCTTACACTACTCTCTGAGAAAACTCTCCTTTACAACTTCATAGTTAGCATGAATGTGCCATTATACTCAACACTAAAAATTCTTAGATTGGAAAGCAGGATCTGAAGAAATTAGTAAGTACATAGTCTGAGTTAGATACAGCCTAATGCTTTTGTGACTTTTTTGGAAGTAAGATATTATTGTTCTTGCATGACATTTTTTATAACTGCTTGATGAGCAAATAGAACAATGAATTTTGATGAACAACTGCTGTACTTATAAGCTCAGATATAACTATAAGCAGGTACAGAATTTTCTTTTTTTGACATAACTAATGATTAAATATTATGATTATTTGGAAAACACTTGCTGAGTACAAACTTCCAGAATGATTGAATTAATAAATGAATGAATGAATGAGCTCAGAATATAGTTAAGCCTATGTTTCATTAAAATGGACACCTGGGAAGCTAGCTCATGTTTAATAAAAATTATATGTGATGAGCTCTTTTTCATTTTATTTTTATCTTTGATAACAGTAAACTAAGCTGCTTGTAGGATGGAGAGAGGTAGTGGATGGTGTTGTTTTACATGTGTTAGCTGCCTCCTCAAGCTAATATTAAGTGTTTAGTAATTCTTTACAAAATGAGTATATTTTATTTTATCATAGTTTAAATTTTAACCCAGAACTATTAGCAAGTAGACATATTTTATAAGTATTTGATATGAAGGAGTGAGGAGCTTTGATTATTTCTAAATCATCATTTATAAAGCACCTCTTTTTTGCTAGAAAAAAGATTATAGATGGATCGTGTAAGTATATCTCATATAGGATATCATTCAACTAAAGAATGTAACTTAAAATAAAAATATTTGTTAAAATTATAACTCTTACTGCATCTTGACTGATTCTAATATAGAAATTATCAAAGCTACCTCAAAACAAAACAAACGAACAAACAAAAATGCCAATTTCTCTGAATGCTTTCTTTACTCACTACTCTCAATGATCCCCAGTGATGCAAGAAGGCTTGATATGTGTGCGCATGTGTGTGTGTGTGTATAATTATTTCACATTCATTGCAAATGAGTTGTGAATCATAGCCTATGTTCCAATTTAAATTTATGCACTCTTGGAAAACTTATAAAATGTAATAATCAGTTAACTTATTTGTTAATTATTGAGGCACCACATGGAAAATAGTATATATAATATCAGTGGTACGGAGAAGAGATGTTATTGTTATTAACCCAAGTAATTGATAATTATTTTGTATTATTTTATCCTCAGCATGTGGCAACTTGTTTCACACTAGGATCTCAAGAAATACTGCATTAAACTGATTTGAGTTCAATTGAATTAAATTGAGTTAGTTAAGTAATTTTAAGAAAAATAATGTGCCAAGTTTCAGATGAAATATAATTTTAAGTTAAAAAGGGAATATGAAATCAAATCATTTACACATTGACAAGTCTTATAAAATAGCCTGGACTTTCACTGATTCTAAGCCTCAATTGGTAAGTTGTCCCACTATTTTATAAAGTTACCATTAAAGAAAAAAATGCTGTGCATTAAAATAAGATGCAACCCTTTATTAATATTTATAACTTTAATTTTATAATTACCAAAAAAGCTTTTTAGACATACTTAAACAGATTATTTAAATCATTTTAATTACTCTTGAATATTTTATGCATACACACATATTTAGAAAATGTACATTAAATAGATTGAGTAAGGCATTTATTTCAAAACTTCTTTCTAGTCAGTATCTGTCTCTCCTAAATTAGTTTTTGAGTCCCCCATGTTTCACATAGGAAATTGTTCTCCTCACCCTTGAGGAAGCCTATTTTAATTAAGAGACCAACCATTTTTCTCTGGTAATTCCACCTACACCACTACATCCATTCTGTGCATTTGCTGCTGGTACTCTCTTGACCTTACCGAAGTGTGGCAACAGAAGATTTTTCAGACAGCAGCGAAGACTGCATATTCCTTTTAAAATGGTCCGTAAGTGGTTTCATTGAAATGTGAGGTATTGCCTTTGTGCAGTCGAGCCACAGAAGTAACAATCCAGTTCCAGCATTCATAGACCTGTGACTGGAGCCTGAAGAAAAGGAATTGTTAAGAGATTATCAGGTGTAAGACATCCTTATGTCTAATGTTGAGAGTATAATAAGATATGGAAACAATAGGTGTCTTAGAATCAAAGAAATATGATATTAAAGAAAAGTCATAGTGAATTCTAAAAAAATTGAACTCTAATTAAGAGCACAGTATACTGTGCACGCAGTATACTAAAAAATAGAACTCTAATGCACATAAATAATTTATGTAATGCTTGGATTTTTGTCACATAAATTTACCTGCACTTGTTAAGATACTGCAACAGTTTAACTATGTCTTGTTTAAAAACTTTTCCATCAAAAGTTGAATGATTACAGTCATAAAGTATATATATATATATTAAGCAGTTCTAATTTATTATTTTATGTGCTTTCCTATGTATGGTTACAGATAACCAGTCAAACTAATTGGAAAGTATTGAAAAGTCTTCATTATTTTCCATGGGGAACTACCATTTTTCTTGGGTAATTAAAATGCGCTTTCTCAGCTTTAAAAATTAACGGTGTTAAAAATAAATAAACGGCTCAGCAACTGAAAATTTCCTACTCCCATCTCCACTCAGGTCCCTTAAGCAGTATTTTGGTGAATAAATACGGCAGCAGGCCAGTGGTGATGATGGGAGGCTTATTATGCTCGGCGGGAATGGTCGCAGCCTCGTTTAGTTCCAGCGTGATAGAGCTCTACCTCACTGTCGGGTTCCTCGGAGGTAAGTTTGGTTTTCAGCTTGTTATCTTAACACTGGTTTTGTTTACAAAGCTCTCTAAAAAGCATGAGCAAGAGAATATTCTTACTGTTTTCCTTAAAAATTATTTTTATATCAGATACAATCTTAAATGATCTTTATCTAGTACATGGAAATACTAGCTATGGGATGTCCAATCAAAATCATTTTAAGTTACGGAAAAAGGATTTATCAGACATGTACTGCGCTATGATATAAATGTCAACAATACAACAGCTTCGGCCTGTTTTTATTGTTTTACCCTTTACTCCTCAACCAGTTAAGATAATGGGCAGAGGCTTTCTGGCATATAAATAGCTTCATTGTCAAAAAGTGTATTTTTCATTAATTATTACTATTCAGAGTATCTCATGTGCAATTATAATAGGTTGAAAATGGTGCCAGAAAGATATTTTCTGGATGCACTGAGCTTTAAAAATAGAATTATTGGTGTCTGCGTTCTGTTTATGTAGAGCTCGTTGACGCTGCCCCTTTTTTTCCTCACTAAAGGATTCTGTTTAAAAGCGCTATAAGGCCCATTTGCCACTAAACACAAATGTTTTCAAATGACATACTCCCATTCAATTGTGGTTGTTGCTCGTGCATAGTCTGTGGGCTCAAACTCACCTGAATATGTACACTTAGAAAATACTATTTTTTAACCTCAATAATAAATTAAATCAAATAAATGTGTACTCCGTTTTAAGAAAGATTAAACTTCAAAATATAAAGAAATTAAGTATGTTTCTTATGCCCACAAATAAAAAGACAAATATTATCTCTTCGTATTATGATTTAGATCAGCCTAACCTTGCACTTATATATCATGTGATTAAAAAAATAGACTCACTAAAGCCTACAACATATTGATGGTAAAATCTTTCTCTTACTACTTATTGACAGCTCTCTTTTTTGATATGTTCAAATACCTTTTGTAAGTGAGAATCTTACTACATCTACAAATTGTCACAGTGGAGAGAATGTCTTTTACTTTGTGCTGAACTACTGTGCATTACAATTGTGGAAATAAAGCTAGGCCAACAAATAGATATAGTAGAAAAAAGATGATTTTGGTTTTACTGTCCTATAAATATCAACAGCGTTATTCAGGGTGGGGCAAAAGTAGATTTATAGTTGTGAGTATGCAAAAGTTTGTTATTATTTATTAAAATTGTATTATTTTCCATACAAATAATTGTAAGCTTACTTTTACCCCATCCTCTATATTATTCTAACTTTAGTTCTATTCCTGTGAGTTGTGAAGGCTTTGGTGCTTCTAGAGTCAACCATTAAATACAACTACGTGAAATTTATCTTAAGTCATTATGAGCCAATAGACTTTCAGATAGCCAGTATCTGAAATCAGACGGATCTTTTTAAAAACCTGATGTAGCACATGGTCACTGTGTGATCGTGGGTAAATTAACCTCCTTGTGCCTCATTCTCTTTGTCTTTAAAATGGGGGAAATAATATCTCTGTTCTTTGGGAGTTCTTGGAATAATTAAATATAAATATTAACATATAAGACTTTATAGATTGCTCAACATTTTGTTACTTTTACATAAATATTAGCAAATAATAATAATAGTCACAAGGTCATTATGTAATGTCACATGCCTGGTTAGGGCACGTGCCTGGCTTTCAAATCTGGTTCCCAGTTGTGGCGCATGTGAGAGGCAACACATTGATGTTTCTCTCACATATCGACATATCTCTCCTCTTTCTCCCCACACCTCTAAAAAGAAATAAATAAAATATTTTTAAAAAGAAAATAATGTGCATTAAGTGTTTGCAATAGTTATTTTGACTCTGAACTGAGTGTCCCAGAATCTAAATACTTAACCACTTTGCAATACTGTCTCAATTTACATAAACTGGTAAATGCAGAATTCTTCTAAGCCCTTAAAATCATATGGAGTAATACCTAAGCTAAGGGTGAAAGAAAGATGATTTCTATACATACATTTTATGTACTTTTAAAACAGACCTATTCATTACTATTGCTAAATAGTACCTTGGAAAGCTATAAGAAATAATTCGTTTTCAAAGGCAATATTTAGCACTGCCAAGGAGTACCCTACACAGCAGGAACTTTTGACTTATATAAGCAATAACCTTTACTCCCTGAAATAAGAATGTGTTTCAAGCCCAAATATTTCTTTGTTAGCTAACACACATGTGTATCTATATTCATGAGACGTGTAATATAAAGGATATAGAACATGAAACTAATGGCATTAATTTTTTATCATTGTATTATTTGCATAGTTTTAAAGATATATCTCTGGGGACACCTAGGATTGTTTGTAAGTGACAAAGGATTTAGTCTGTTCAACTATGAAAAGAAAGCATTTTAAATGTGGTCTTTTCCACAAGGAAAAAATGTATCCCATATACATGTATATCAGTATAAAAAGAGATGGACTCTCTTTTTTATCTGTGGAATTAAGTGATTGCGATTATAAGAACTCATCATGTATCTTAGTTCCAGTCTATTCTATGATTAGCTAAACATCAATAAAAGTTTTGGGTTTTACTTTTGTGGTTTAAAATGAAAGGGCTTTGAAACTATTGGACATACCAAGTGCCCAGTTGTGAGAACCTTTGTATGTGCCATTCTGTTGATTTTGTCATTAACAAAAATCACTGCCTGCTACTGCATTCTGAGTTCTGCCTCACCCAACTGAATAAACATTGTGAACAGCCATTGCTTTCGTGAGTGGCATAACGTGCGTGTGTTTTTCTTCCTTTCGTTCTTTGCAGGTTTAGGTCTGGCCTTCAACCTGCAACCTGCCTTAACCATCATTGGCAAATACTTCTATAAAAAACGGCCAGTGGCAAATGGACTCGCCATGGCAGGAAGTCCTGTTTTCTTAAGTACATTAGCTCCTTTCAATCAGTTCCTTTTTAATACTTTCGGCTGGAAAGGGAGTTTCTTGATTTTGGGAGGGATATTGTTGAATGCCTGTGTTGCTGGGTCCCTCATGAGACCCGTTGGACCCACAGAAACCGCTAAGTCAAAAACTAAGGTTGGCGTGACAGCACCTGAGGCAAGTGTGAAGAAAAACTATCAGAAGACATCGATATGGAAAACCATTGATAAATATTTTGATTTCTCCCTTTTCAAGCATAGGGGATTTTTGATATACTTATCTGGAAATGTCATTATGTTCCTAGGATTTTTTGCCCCTGTTATATTTTTGGCCCCATATGCTAAAGATAAGGGAATTGATGAGTATTCTGCAGCCTTCTTGCTGTCTATCATGGCTTTTGTTGATATGTTTGCGAGGCCTTCTGTAGGACTTATTGCAAACTCCAAACTCATTCGACCTCGAATCCAGTACTTCTTCAGTTTTGCAGTCATGTTCAATGGAGTGTGCCACCTCTTGTGCCCGTTGGCACAGGACTACACGAGCCTGGTGTTTTATGCTATATTTTTTGGCCTTGGATTTGGGAGTGTCAGCAGTGTCCTCTTCGAAAGTCTCATGGACCTTGTTGGTGCTCAAAGATTTTCCAGTGCTGTGGGACTCGTCACAATTGTGGAGTGTTGTCCAGTGCTTCTTGGGCCTCCTCTTGCTGGTAAGAACATTTCCCATCAAGGAAGACAAAAAGCATAAAATCAATAGTCATTCACTGAGGCTTTCTTTTTAGTGTATAATGTGCTTTGTAAGAAAAAAAATACTAATAGCCTGGAAGGCTGTGGGTGTGTTCATTTTAGTTTTTTTTAAGTCTTTTTTACATTTCCTAATTAGTTGAATTTAGATCTAAAGTTGTTTCAGAACCTGAACAGATGAACTTAAGAATTTAAGTTAAATGGACAATTAGTGGCATATTTTTTAGGTTTTTATCCATATCAGTTGTTTGATGTTTTTTAAAATGTATCATAAAAATGTCACTTTTTAATTATCGAATTAATGTTGCCAAACCATGGCGCCAGCTGTGACAATGACAGTAACTGATTTGTGCACCTTCTTGAAGCGCTCATTCTGTAACCAGAATACATCCATTTTTTCATCCTGTTTCTGCCTCCTGCCACCCCGGACACTCCACAGGTGGCATCTGGCACCTCGTAGGCACCCCGGGAATACTTTTGAATGAATGGGTCTTGCTGTAGTTGCTTCTCACACAGTTGCCACTGTCTCTGCTCCTCTTCTTAGTTGAGCTAGAGCAGTGGGGTAAGGAAAGCAGGGTTTTCACTTGTTTCAGCCCACGTTTTCACTGCTGTGCTCACACAGAGCTGAAACTTTAGTTCTGGAAATCATGTATTGTTCCCTGATCATGATAAAAAATTCCCGAAACAGAAAGTATGTAGCTGTGGTAGCCCAAGGTGACACTACCTCGGATGGAGCCATAGAACTAATGTCTATGTATTTTGAAGTGTCACAGTCATTGTATGCATAGAAATATTTGACTTAAAGTTAGAATGGAAAGTTATATTATGCTATTTTCTTATGCTTATGGATGCATCATATTTATTCAAATAAACCTGTTCCACCATTTACCTTGTTAAAACAAGGAAACCTGCTTGCATGGGTAATTTTACAAGCAGCTACATTTAATATTAGCTACTGACTAGATTTTAGTAAGAATGAGAGATATTCTGACTAAACCAATAGGTCTATGTCAGAATCACCAGGAATTAGCACAGGGTGAACAACATGACTTTGTGTGCACTCAATTTTGCTGATAATTATTCTTAAGATTTCAGTTCCTGAAAAAGCGAGAGGCAAAACTATGAACTGAAACATTTTTAAAAGTTAATAAATCCTCAGATTATAGGGTACCAGGTTGGTTTTTAAATGTTTTAATAATCAAATGGAATAAATATTTCCTTCCTGATTACTGTCTTAATAATTTAGATCCAGATAAACTAAAAAAGAAAACAAACCTGTGATTACCCACAGGAGTGACATAATACTTAACCAGGCGTTTGGTGAAGCCGTTTTATGGAACAGTTACCAATTTGAGACCCACATGGACTTTGACTTGAACCAGATTCTGCCACTCTCTGGCTGCGTAGCCAGGTCAGATTTTTTTCAGAATGACCTGGTAGGATTAAATAAGATATTGCCAATAAAAATGTTTAGCCTCATGATGGGTGTAGAAAAAGAATTTTGTAAACATTGCACCCTGTTCTAAACTTTATAAAAGCCTTTGGGTCTTTCCTAAAGAATGTAGTTTTCCCCTTGAGTGAAAAGTTAGGAAGCCTGGAATGGAATGAAGCAATCTCAAAGTCTATGCTGTAAATTAATAGACAGGTAAGTATATCTGTTTCTACATGTATAGATACAAAAATGTCCCTCACACATTTTGTCTTAATTTGCCTTACTTCGTCTTATTTGCACATTTTTATTGAGGGAAATAATGTTCAATAATTTGAATATACTGGCAATATAGTGTTGGATGTGCCCATATGTGCCTTCATTTACATATATTAAAGTATTATCTAGAGTACTTTTTCTTTATTAAAATCATGTAATATTAACTTAAGGAATAAGTACCTGTTTTGTGGAAGAATTTATTTGAAAATTTTATTATTTGTGGCTCATTTATTATTTTATCATACAAGATGTTTTTTCTTTCTCTTAGGTAAATTGGTGGATGAAACTGGAGAATATAAATATATGTATCTGGCCTGTGGAGCTATTGTGTTCTTATCAAGTGTGTGGCTGCTCATTGGCAATGCTATAAACTATAGATTGCTTGCAAAGGAAAAGAAATTGGAAGAAGCAAAGAAAATTCATAAGCCTGTGTTCAGAGAATCTGAACCCTTGAGGCAGTCTAAAGAATGTGACATTAATATCAAAAGTACGAGAAGAGCGAGTCATCCCTCAGAGAGAGAAACTAATATGTAGCAAGAATCACATCTCTGATTTTAGTGTTTATAACTTTTGTAGGAGTGTTTTTTCCAAAATATCGGAAAGGATTTTAGTTGAAATAAAACTCCATAATTAATAATGGAGATGAGACTTTTCTCAGTGGCAGGTCTTAAGTATTTCTTTTGAAAAATTTATTTAGGCAGTTAGACTTGAGATCATGCATATAAAGAATCAATGCAAGGGCTTTATTTCTGGCTCTGGTAATTAAAATAACTTTCAACTCTTCCAGTGACTTCCAGTCTTGATCATAGAGATCCGAATTCCTAACCCCTGGTTGAAGTAGTCAGGACTACGTTTAATCCTGTAAGAATTCCCTCTCCACCTTTCTTTTTTATCTGATATTGAAGTGTGAAATGGAATTAAAGAAAATGAGTTTCCACTTGCAGTCTCTGGAGAACAAGACAAATAAGTTCAAAAGGAGTATCACTAGCTACTTTTTTTACCTAAAAAAAAATCCATGCAGAAACAAGTGAAGTGCATTATATCTGTGTACTACTGTGCAACGTGGATCTTAAAGATAAGAACACGGGTGAAAATGAGGTGATCTTAATTTGAAAATACAGCTAACTGATGTAAAAAAAGCATTTGCATACGTAAAATAAAATTGAAAAAAATACTCCATTTAAAACCATTATTTCTGAACATTGTTGGATTTGATTAATCCATGCACATGATTTCTTTGAAAGGACCATTAGTACCTGGTGCTAGAAAATAGAATCCTCAAATAATTTTGAGAATTTTTACCCAATGTGTAAATTATATTAAAAGCCTGAATTACTCTAAGCAATAAGCTATATCCATTGACTTTAAAAAGGATTTTTGTTAGTAATCCAGAAAGTAATAACCAGGGATTCATTTTAACCAGAACTCATACTGAAACATCAAGTGGAATCAGCCTGAATCCTGGTAGACAGTCTTACAGATAGGCCAAGCTGTACATTTCCCAACATGTAGTAGAGATCAGGGGGTTAGTATAATCAGTGATCTATCTGGGTAAAGCTAAGAATATGAGGTGCTTATAATAAACCCTCTGAAGTCTCATCCTCCTCCCTTCCCCAAAATGCAAAAGCAAAAAACCAAAATCACAAATAGGCTTTTACTCACCACTGAACATGCCTCATTATAAGAATGGCAGCACTTGAAAATTCTGCTTTCTACTAATTGACTTCCTCTGAACACGACTAAGCCAGGAGACTGTTAAAAACAACAATAACAACAACAACAACAACACAAAACCTCTAGGTTTGAAGCCGTGTGACTTGTTAAACACTTTGGAGGTGCAGGGCTCGTGTATAACACAATAGCAAGCAACTTGCAGTAAGGCAGCCAGATTGACTTAGCAGTTTCTTATTTTCCTAACTATGTGAAAACATCTGGGACTCTGAATCACTTTCGAATACAGTGGCATATGATAGTTCTGCTTTTTAATCAGGAAGGAAATTGTGCATTGAGACTAAAGTTATAAATATTTAAATACGTCTACAGATCTGAAGTTTAAGATCATGGTTAATAAAAATCATTCAGTGCTTGATTACTGAAGTGTCACTCTGAAGATGGCAAAAGGAATTTGCTGTTCTTCTTTTCTTTTATTGCAGTAGAGGCAGGTGCCATTCTTATTTCTAATAAGATTGTCCCTGGATACAAGCTTTTGTGATACTTAATATTAAGGATTTGCTTTGTAAAATGTATTCACGGTTTAAGCAGTTATATAACATTCCATATTTCATTTAACATTCACTTTTTGCCTATGAAAGAGTTATTTATATTTTTCAAATATTTAGCAAAACAATATGTGCCAATACCATAGGTAAATTAATCAAGGAGATGTGGCGTATACACTGATTTTTTAAATTCAGTTTTGTCCAATCTTGAATCCAGTCTTGAATGAGCTATTTTCATGTCACTGATTCATCATAAGAAATGCAACATCAAAAATTAATAGCTCGACAATCTTAAACATTTCCAAAAATGTCTTAAATTCTCAGAAGGTAATATTTAAATTAACATAGGTATCAGACTGGGGGGATTAAACAACGAAGTAAATATCGTGGGGTTTCGATCTAAGGCTGCAGTTGTTTTTATCACCCACTGGTAGAGACACACTGGTGTGGTGGAGGCATCCCGGTGGCTTTCTCCACGGAAGGAGGTTCATGTACATACTGATACATTTCTTATTAAAACCAATTCACATTTATTCTGTGCTCATTTTCATTATCTTTTCATTTCTGACACTGATTATAATAAACTGTTAAAAATAGAAAAGGGAAGGGAAATTATGCAAAGCACAGGATATGATATATATAGTTGTGCCTGGTAGCAATGATGCACAGTTATAAATACACACTACACACAAATTCCCAGACATAAATGTGGAAAATTCAATCAGAACATACTTGAAACAGCCATGTGAACTCACATACAGGACTCAGAATTGTTCCATGATAAAATAAAATGTTCTACTGGTTCACTCTTCCCACTCCCTTACACTTGTTAAAATATCCAATATTTGTTGCTTTAACTGAAACTTTCGAAGATTGAAAAGAGAATATCACCTTAGAATATTGATTGTTAAGTAGTCACATCAGTGGAGGAGGAAGTAGAGCTGGCTTCTGTGTCTGCAAGTGTTAGTGCAGAATATATTTCTTCCCCTAAGAAAACTATAGGATTTCGATGTTTAGGAAGCAAAGTCAGAGAACACTGTTAACCCTCTTCAATCCCATTCCCCTGTTATGGAATTGGAAAGAAGGAAGATTATCTTAAACCAGGGTATAACATAATTCACAACCACTGGCTAGTTTATTTTTCCATTTGTGGTAACTGAGCACCCCATATTTTTCACCATTTCAGCTTAAATATGCCTTTACTAATTTATGAGTAGAATATTGGGTATACATTTGTCCTGTGTTATCCCCACCCTCTCTCCTGATCCTTTTTAGATCCAACAGCACAAATTTAAGAGGCAATGAGTCAGGCTCTTATGTACTTTATGTTGGAAAACATGATGTTTTCTCAATGTAACTTCACATGGCTCATAACTTTCACTTCCTTAGGACAAAGTTCCAACTACCTGATCTCCACTCCCTTCCCCAGACACCAGGGAATAAGTAAAATCATTAGGTTTGATACACTTGAATGTGACTTTAGAAATGTAGGCATTTTTTGCTAGAAAAATATACCCAGAAAATATACCTAGCAAAATTTTTTGCTAGATTTTTTGCTAGGTATATTTTGCATCCTTCTCTGGCTGCCCTTGGCAATTGAGGATACAGAAAAAAAGACCACAAAAAAACAGACACAAAAGATGCAAAAAACAGGGGGATCTCTAAAACACAGAATCATCTTTGGGAGGGCGAGCCCCTGGGAGTACAGGCTTCTCTCGTGAAGTGAGTGTTCTAGGAACCCACCTGGATAATGTACGAGATGAAGTTGTGAGAGAGGCTCTATTCAGCTTCAGCGAAATTTTTTTTGAGACTCAGTGCACTTGCCCATTTCATAGTGGCTGACTTACAAGCACACCTGCCTGCACCACGCTGAGAGTTCAGCAGTGTTTGACCACAAATGACATGACCCCCATATCCCACCCTCCCTATTCACCTGATCTCGTGAATAGTCACCCTATTCACTCAGAGTGACTTTTTGTTTTCCCAGATGACAAAAGTCCTCAAAGGGAAACATTTTGCCTTTGTGGAAGAAGTGAACCAAAAAAAAATGGCAGAAACACTAAAAGGCATTAAAATTGATGAGTCCAAAAACTATTTTGAGGAGTGGAAAAACAGTATCTCAATAGGTGTATTGCATCAAATGGAGAGTACTTTGAAGGTGACTGAAGTTTAAACATGTAAGAATAAATACACAACTTTCATAAATACTGGGGGTTTTTTTTGGTCCCCTCCGGTATGATATAAGTTGATGTTTTAAAAAGCAGAGTCACCTTTAATCAGTTAGTTGAAACTTATTTTCCATCCAAAAAATACCTTTCCTAAAAAAAAAACTCTCTCATTCGTTTAATATTTCAGACTTTTAATAAAACAAAATGAAAAGTATGGCTGTTAGGCTCAATTTAATAGGGAGCGAGAATGCAAAGTGGGAAAGGAACTAGTATTTCTGTATTATGCATTTTGCCTGCTTAATACCTTTTGATATTCAAACCAAATCACAGATGGAGGCCGATGCTGGCCTGATATAATAGATGACTGAAACAAAATGAAAAACAGACATGCAAAGAAATTCAGCAAATCACCGACGTTAAAAGGCAGAATCCAAACTAAAACTCAGGTTTATCTGAAAGCAGAAAGAGTCCGTAGGGTGTCACTGCCGTGCTTCCTCCTAATAGAAGCCATAGAGGCAAAGCTATGATACAATATAGCCACAAAAAACTCAAAAGTTAGGTGGTAAACCAACTAGGTTTAACTTCAGTTTGTGTTATGATTTATATAGTGTTTATTAGAGACTGCATTTGGTATAACCTGAATACATAATTTCAAGTTGGCTGCTTTTCTAGTCAATGCACATTATCCCAAATTACGTTAATGATTATATAATATCCATAATTGTTTCAATTATGGACTTTTTCATAAAAATAATGACATATTTTTATGAATCGAGCATAATATATTTTCCCTGAGGTTAGATTTAGAGAGAAATGCTATTTTCTTTATGGATAAGTAATCCCCATATTGTTTGTTACTTATAATGACTCAAGAATTAAGAGAAGTTACTGGGAAACATTGTTTTCAGAATCACGATACCCATTTACACGATACCCATTTACAGGATTATCCTAAATTGCCAAAAAATAACTTTGAAAAGTTTATGTCGTACAAATGATCAGGTTCACCTATGCAATACTTATTCATCCCCGACATTTTATGCAGTGGCCCCGACCTCCTGACTCATTTTTCCAGTTTTTGTAGACATCTGCATTGTCATCCTTTCTGTACACTTGTTTGAACAAGTGCCATTGCTATTTCCTCTAATTCAAGACTTTTGGCATCCTTAGAATATTGTTCTGCTTAGTTTTCTTTCAGATGGTGCGCTTTGAATGACTTAAATCCTTCACAATGTCACCATGCTGCATCTGGTCTTATTTGTGATTCACAACAATGGCCGTATTTCTGAGGCCAACAGTGTATACTTTTGGCAATTACTATTCATCTCCACAAATAAAGGAACTTGTGTGAATGTGGAAGCAAGGCTTCCTGGATATGGAAGGTGCATATATTCTAGCTTTTTTTGTTAATATGTCTTCCTTATGCATGATACATATATACTTGAATGCGATTTTTAAAAATCTATCACTATTGATCTTTCTGTCTTAGGCCCTTGCAATCCTGTATGTTTCTAATTTTCTTAAAGTGCCTGACAACTTGGAGAAACCAAAGTTACCATCAAGCATAGCACCATAGCATCCGTCCTGTACTGATACAGCATACCCAGCAGTTCACTACACCAAACGGCATCCAAATTATTGAGATAAAAGTTGAAATTAGTCTTTACTCATGCCACTTTTTTAAAGTTTTGATTTCTACATATCCTGGTATATGATCTCATGTTTGAGAAAGCCGAGAGGTCTAGTTATCTGTAATTATAACATTTATATAATCAAAATCGTAAACTATCTTTGTTGATGATTAAAAATTGAATAATATGCTGAGCTCCTATCACATTTCTGTTCTGGCATTCTCTTCTTTGCTGTCAACAGTTTGCACACAGTAGGTGTTAACCTGCAGGGTTCTGCAGTCTGGTTTACTTTGGTCTTCTGTCCCCCACTGCTTTTCGTTCACATTATTTGATTTATGTTCAGCCCACGAAAGAATTATTGGGGTACTGTCGAGAGTTACAATTTTATATCCCTGCCTTAAGAGGAAAAGTAAAATTGCAGAAAGGCTTTTTAATTTTAGTGGAACATGTGGGAATTTTTAGACTACATCCTTTCTCCCATCTTAATTCCACCCTACTTTACCTTCCTCTTTTATCTGTACAATAATTTTTTTAATTATTGTCTTTCAATAGTTTTTTACAGTGTCTTGGTCAAATTCTTTAGCATTTTAAATCTAATTGTGGACATTGTTAGTGTAGGATTTTTTGCATGATCTCCATATTTTTCAGTCTTCAGAAGTACTTACTAGTATGGTGTGCTGAATATACTGAATATTTACAGTATTTCAGCAGGTGTTATTCAGTGATTTTAAACTCATTATCTTTTCAGCAAATATTTTTCCTCACACAGTATAACAAGCTCTTTGCCCTTTAAGTTCAAATATGGCAAAATTGACTAGAGAAGCTCTGTATGAAAACACTGGTACTCAATATGGTATCTAGGTGTACATCTGTAAAAAGTTCTGGTCAGATGAACAAAAGAATGGAATTCTTGTCTCACATGTATATCAGGGTTAAATTTTAAAATGTTCTTCTCAGACTTTTATCCTAGGTTTGTTGTTTTACTTTGACATGCATCTAAAGAAAGGATTTTTAAGTTTGACCCAGTTTACACAGCTGTTCATTAAAGTAGAGCACACATTTCTGATTTTATTTTTCTACCACATGTTATTCTAAGTAAAGTATAAAATATTTCTGGGTTTAGTAAGGAAGGACATGTATACTGAACTATTTATTTTCTAGGCATTATATATAATTTTTGTTTGTATTGTATTTTCTTTTTAATGTATTTATGTTTCAAAGATGTGCTTAATTTGTGTCATCTTCTCAACCCTCTAAGTTAGGTTTGTTAGATATTCACAGTTTTGCAAAAAGATGCTGGAACAGGCTGAGTTGAGGGCTCTGTATAGTCACATACCTGTGCTACCACTAGACGACTGCGTGGGCCGCTGCTTGCGTGGTGGTAAACTCTGCTGAGTGAGTGCTTGCTTTACTGGAAATGTAGTCCAACTTATCTGGAACCCTTTGTTTCCAAATGCATTTGTTTCTCCTAACTGAATGGCGCTTCACAAAGTTGTGCTTTTAAATTTAATTTGAAGACTATTTGCTGATTCTCACAACAGATAATTCTGAGTAAATTAGTCATAATAACTAGGGGAGATGAATGTTTTTGACCAATACTTGTTGTTATAGCAATATGTAAGTCATGAAAATACCCATTGATAATGTGTTTATAGAATCTGTGTGTCAGTTTTCCATTAATTCCTTTCCTTAGCTTATGTTCATAATGTTATTCTAGAAGCCTTAGTCACTTTTTTATTTCTGAAAAGTATAATGCCACAGCACAGAACACACAATACAAATTTGTTGAATTACTAAGTCATATGCAAGAAACTATTGCCATTGTATAATCTTGAGGAGACACCTCAACAACATTTTTTGACCTAAGTAGCTGCGGATGGGTTAATAAAATAATTAGTATAGGCTCTATCTCAAAAAATGTTTGCTTTTTAAATGGTCATTCACCTATTAATACTAAGCTCTCTAAGAGTTGTCCTGCAACAGTAAAACCAGTTTCTTTTATCTTAGAGATCCTGTTTACCTTTCTTCTTACTTTATCTAGATAGAAATCCTTTCTAGATTTTTTTCCTTTTGATTCCATTGCAGTAAAAAAGAAATTACTCCTAAATGAAAGATCCCTAAAGGAGAATACTTGTTATTCGGAATTTGCTCTGTGAAATGTAAAAACAGTCATCTGTACTCAGTATTTGTTGCTTAGTTAATCAAGGATATTTACTCTAAGAACACCCTTTAATAAAAGTTTTGATAAACAGATGTGTCACAGTAAAGTCTTTCACAAACAGGGCCCTAATTGCATTTGCAGTCAGTGAGGCCCTTCGTTAGATTCAACCAAACTGATGTTTGTGGACTCTGCGCTGTCAGCGTGACCCGTGACCCGGCAGCAGTGAGTGCATCAGCGGGATAGCAGCTCCTTCACCGTAATGATGGTAAAGATGAGATCAGCTACAGCAATGCATACACTGTTTAGAAGATGAAAGGGCAGGATCTTTCCATTTATTGGCTAAAATTTACATTTGATTCGAAGCTTTTCATTTACAAGCACTTCCCTCCAAATGCTTGAAAATAGTGTGCTAATAATTTCCAGAGTGAATGATTCCTATTTTTGAGGAACTTTAGAAAACATTTTATTTACTACTTGTATTAGTTTAAAAATATTTTTTCTCATGCCATTATTACATTTGTGCAAGTATTGAAAGTAATATTATTAGGATAAAGGGTACATGTGATGACGTGTTGCGCATATCGATACGAGACTTCTTGGCTGCAGCTGCACCTAGCTAACTTTTGTTAGAATTCTTTAGGGGTTGGATTTAGGGGTTAAGCTGTATAATTTTTTTAAGTATAATTATATCTTAGGCTGTATTTTTATGATTTTTAAATGAAAAGAAATTAATGGAGTCAATTTGTTGGTTCTTTACATATCTTAACCACCACTGAACAAGTGATCATAGTATCACTTAGACTATCATCTTACAGTTACTAACATAGTGAAATTGATAGCTTTTCTGGAAACCTGAGATAATCCAGTCAGTATTTTTTTACATAATACAAATCATGGCTATGCTAATTTTATTTTTTAAATTGCAATAATAATAAAAATCAATGTAATTAAATACTTTTTAAAGTTAAAACATATAAGATAGAACCTTCCACTTTTTGCCTTCTTACAGGTGAATGTACTTAAAGTGATTGTGATTTGATCTTGCAATACATATTTCTGTTTTTTTATATATAGTAATTCTAAACTTGGCAAGAACTGGCATTTTCATACAATACATATTTTTGGTTTTAACTGAATACAACATAGATTTTATTTAACTCGGGAATATGTTGTTGGTGGTCATTTTAAGATTATATTCCCTTTGATATGTACCTGCTCCTTTATTTGTAAGCACATTCATTTGAATAACTGAAGCATTTAACACAACTTTCATTTATACTACTCTGTTACATTGACATATTGTTTTAGAAAGGTCTTTGTTGTAATTTCTAAGTTTCACTACCTAATTAATCTGAAACCAAATGTTGGATTTTTCTGTGGGGGTATATTTTGCCAGCAGTTGTGAGCATATTTTCAAGTTTATCTCTTTCTTATTAGACTGTGAGCTCCTTGTGGACAAGGATATAACTTTAGTTACAACAACAATTTTGGTGCCTAGCAAAGCGCCAGGCACAGAATAATTTCTTTATTGAGATAAATTGATGCCACTAGATTATTAAATTAATACTGTGCTATTCTATGGTGCAGGCTGAATGATTATTAGAAAAATTATTGGGCTAATTTTCAAAGTAAGATATAGAAAAGAAACATCATTTTATCTTGAAATTGATAGTTTATTTTGAAGATTTCATTTTTATTTCGTCAGTAAATACTTTATGCAAATGCTGAATTATGCAGCAGCTAAATGCATGGTACATATTAACTAGTTTTATTTTCTTTACAAAATGAGAAATGCTCTTTAGGCTCTCTGAAGATAAACATTGACAGTTATTTTATTGACCAAAGGTGCTACTTATTTTCCAGTATTTACCGTGATCATAAGTGCTCTTGTCTGCTGAGATTTACTTCTTCTTTTTTTCAGGGGGCAGGGGGAGGAATTGGGATGTATTTTTGCCTTAATTATTCAACTTATGACTTTATAACTTTCTTTGTACTTCATTATTATTGTAATTGAATTATTGTCTCTTACTGCTCACTAATTTTTATTGCTGACCTATGCTGTTTCTTATAAAGTATGTGCATATATATTTACATAATATGTATGAGAAAGCTGTATTGCTTATGAAATTAACACTACAATGACAAATAAATACTCATGTTAAATTTTTAAAATAAAATGTACACTGATTTTTTAAGTATATTTTACTGATTATGCTATTATAGTTGTCACATTTTTTTCTCCCCTTTATCCCCCTCCACCCTATACTCCCATTCTCTCTAGCATCCCCCCACTTTAGTTCATGTCCATGGGTTGTACACATGAGTTCTTTGGCTTCTCCATTTCCTATACTATTAACCTCCTTTTGTCTGTTTTGTACCTGGTAAACTGCTTTTTTTAAAAGGAAGATTAAGTAGAATGCTAATCAAAAGGTAATTTTCAACATCAGCTTAAATGAGGGCACTATTTTTTTTCTGAATGCACATAATCAATTTATGTCAATGGAAGTCAGATATAGTCAAACCACAAGCCACTTCTAGGGACTGAAATGAACATGTACTGTTGAGTTTTTTATATGTACACAGTTTGATGGATTTACACAGAAGGAACACACTCAATTCAAAGAGAGCATAATGGGCACCACCGAAGTTCTCAATCTACTTCTCAGCCTTGTTTCCTTCCTTTAACGTTTTAACAGACTTAATCCTTAGAGCAGTTTTATGTACACACACCCTGTCCCACAGACACATCTGAAGCACCGTTATCACCCAAAGCCCATAGTTCACATTAGGGTTCACTCCTTGTGTTGTCCCTTCTATGGGTTTGGACAAATTTATAATGACATGTACGCACCCTCGCAACCACTGATTTTACTGTTTCCATAGCTTTGCCTTTTCCAGAATGTTGCATATTTGGAATCATACAGTATGTGGCCTTTTCAATATGGCTTCTTTCACTTAGTAATATGCACTTAAGTTTCCTCTGTATCTTTTCAAGATTTGATAGATCTATTTTCTTGACATTGAATGATATTTCATTGTACGGAAGTACCACAGTTTATCAGTTCACATACTAAAGGACATCTTTGTTGCTTCCATGTTTTGGCAAGTATGAAAAGCAGCTAAAAACATCCACTTTCAGGTTGTAGTATGGACATAAGTTTTCATCTTCTTGGTTTTAAGTTCCAAGGAGTGGTAAATAGTGGATTACATGGTAAGAGTAGGTTTGGTTTTGTAAAAAAAATACCAACCAGTCTTCTAAAGTGGCTGTACCAGCAATGCATGATTGGTTCTGCTGCTTTACTTTCTCACCAGCATCTGTTCCCCAGTGTCCTGGCCATTCTAACAGGTGTATAGTGGTATCCTGCCATTTTAGTGTGCATTTTCCTAAAAACGTGTGTCGTGCAACATCTTTCCATATGCTTATTTGCCATGTGTGTGTCTTCTTTGGTGATGTGTCTATTCAGGTGTTTGGTTCATTTTTTTTAAACTATTTTAGTTCTCATTGTCAAAGAGAAAGAACTCATGGACACAGACAACATTCTGGTGACTACAGGAGGGGGTGAGGTTTGGTGGAGGTGGGACAGGGTAGAGGGAAGATAAATGCTAATGGAATAGTACAATAAATAAATAAAGCCGGATAAGAAAGAGTTCTCTGTATATTTTGAATAACAGTATTTTATCACATATCTTGGCAAATATCTTCTTGCAATCTGTGGCTTATCTCGTTATTCTTTTTTAATATTAAATATCGTAACATTTGTTTGATTTCTAAAATTTATAACTTAATAGTATAAAATTTTACTGGGGTGGGTTGGGCTGGGATGGGAGTAAAAGCCAGAAAACTGTATTTGAACAACAGTTACAATTAAAAAAAAACCACAACAAAAAATAGTATAAAAGTTTAAAATATAACAGATAAAAAAATGAGTATCACCCGTAAGACCATCAAGTAATATTAGTATTTTAGGAAATACATTTGTTTTTTTTTAGGCAGCATTATATATTTAATTTTCAGCTGACACACATGAAGAACAATGAGCAGTGACAATATTTTTCTTCTGAGACAAAAATCTTCATGAAGTTCTTATGTAATATTTAAACTTTTATATTTTAATAACTTAGGAATAATGGAAATGCCTAAATAGCAATTAATTACAAAGTAAATATTCTATTTTAATTTCTTTTTATAATTTTTAATTGTTTTTCAAGTACAGTTGTCTTCTTTTTCGCCATACCTTGACCCCCACCCACCCACCTCTGTCACTCAATTCTGTTTGTAAGGGGACATAGTTTACTTTCTAATGTAGACATTTTTATTAACATTTTATTGAATTTGTTGGGGTAACATTGGTTAATCAAATTACATAGTTTTCAGGTGTACAATTGTTTTTAATTAAAAATATTTCATTTATTTGTTCATTCATTCATTCATTCATTCATTTATTTATTCAGAGGGGAAGGGAGAGAGAAAGAGAGGGAGAGAGACATCAGTGTGTGGTTGCTTCTCATATGGACCCCACTGGGGACCCAGCCTACAACCCAGGCATGTGCCCTGACTGGGAATCCAGCCAACAACTCTTTGGTTTGCAGCATGCACTCAGTCCACTGAACCACACCAGCCAGAGCTCAGGTGTACAATTTTACAATACATCATCTGTACACTGTATTGTGTGTTCACCGCCCTAAGTCAACTCTTCCCATCACCATTTATTCCCCCTTTACCCTCTTCTACCTGTCCCCATTCCATTTACCTCTGGTGTCACCACACTGTTGTCTGTGTCCATGTGATATACATAGATATATAGATATAGACATACAGACTATGTGATGAAATATGTGTACATATGATATGTCTGTTTTTAATTGACTTTAAGATGGATCTCATCTTCTATTCAACATTGAAAATAAGTCAGAATAAAAAATCTCCCTCACATTTTCTCTGAGAGAGAATGAGAGAGACTGAGCATTGGGGTGGGTGAGTGGGGAGGTTGTGTGTAGACCTGGTCAGGTGGGAATGGGTGAGTTGCCTCTGTTATTCAGAGGTTTTCTATGCACTAATTTGCCCCAAGTCACAAGGTGGTGGTGACATAAGGTGTAAATAACTGAAATGAAAAAAATATAAAAATCTTGTTAGCAGCTACATACATTGCAAAGCATACCACTTTATGCATTTGACAAATATATTTGAGCACTACAACTCTAGGAATATTGTTCTAAATGCTGAGTTTGCAGTAACAAAGTGGTAAAACATTCAGACCTCTTAGGACTTATATGCTAGTGGAGAAAACAATAAAGAAGAAAAAAAGAATTGGTGATGTTAAACACTAAATGCTAAAGAAAATAATAAAGCAGGAAAGGATAATAAGAAGGTTGCTATTTTAGCAAAGATGCAAAATAAGGTAATGTATATAAAATAAAAAAATAAGGCATCATTTACATAAAAACTTAAAGGAGGGACAGGAACAAGACAAGCAGATTTCTGAAGAAAGAACATTTCAAGTAAACAGTTAAGTGTGAAAGCTCTAAGCCATGTCTTACAAGTTCAAGAAAAGGCAAGATGTCAGTCCAGCTGGACTGAGAGAGCATGAAGGGGAAAAGTAGATGAGATCTGAGAAGGGATTAGAGATGGGTTTTTAATGATCGAACGAAAGACTTGATTTGCACACTGAGAGAAAGTAGCACTTTTGTACAATTGTTTTGCATCCAGATAGATGACAAAAACAAGGAAAATAATGCAATTGAAGAAGAAATCTACAACCAAATATATAGTGTTCTACCTTCTCATTGTATGCTACCACACTGTACCTGTGTTCTATGTTCTACTTCACATAGGTCTTTAACAGTCTTTATACCTATCCCCCAATCTATTTTCTCCAATGATGATATCTTACTCTCCAGTCCATTTGCTCTCATGAAGATTTATTCATATTCTAGCTAGATTTCAATCAAGTCACCACCACCCTCCCAAATGTTCAGTGGTCTGTTCGGTGAAGGTAAAAGATCAAAGTTCTGAGCATGGTATTACAATTCTTATCTTTGTTCCCAGGAATACTTTTTCTTTTTTTTTTTTTTAAAAATGGAGTAAAAAAAGACAGGTCCCCAAACCACAAAATCCACCCCACGTCTGAAGAAAAAAAAAAAAGAAAAGAGAGGGTTGTTTGATAAAGAAAAAAAATATTCTCGCAAAAAAAAAAGACAAATAAAGAATTTTTTTTTTTTTTTTTTTTTTTTTTTTTTTTTTTTTTTTGATTGACTACACAATGTTTTGCAGATACCAAGGCCTTTTTGCACATGAAGTCACCTTTAGGGAAAAGAGAGGTCTGGGAAGTGACCAAGACACTTATTGCCTGCTTGAATCCGAGCAAGGATTTTTTTCATGGAGGAGAGTTGAGAATTTTCCTAGTTCATTTGGAAAAGATTTCACAGTTTTAAATAAAAGTTTCAAAGTCAAGGAAAATAAAAACCTGAAATTCTTAGTTATTGTATTATTTTAATTGCAGCTGATTAGAACTTAACTTGATCTAGCTTGTGTAAAACAAATTTATTGACAAGACACAGCATAATTTATGGAATTGAAGGGAGACATCAGAGGCATCAGGGCATCTCTGGCACATTGGAACTGGACACTCTCAGGAGAGTCTGTGTGGTCCTACACCTCTGCTGCTCTCTGTGGGCATCTGCAGTCTGCCTGTGTCATGAGGGAGTCCTCTGATGTTATATTCATATACCTCTATGACCACAAAAACAGAGATATCCCTGATCACCTGGCTACACATGCATATATACAGAATATTTGCAACTCCAATGCATGAATTTATTTGTTCCAGTTTAAACTGTAGGAGAGTGATTCCAATCGTCTTTCCCATTTTTTTGCTTGCACCTGGATCAATCTCTTGAATCCAAGTTGTGGGTTATGATTTGCAGCTTGGGACAAATGCTTGCCTCTGGATCAGGGCAGATAATGACATTAGGTACCATAATAACCAAAGAAATAAGACAGGTTAGAATAATTTGCATTACTGCTTTAATTCTCTGTTATTTTTGCTTCCCTCGAGCCAGAAGTATAACAATATTATTTAAGTGCATAACAAGCTTTGGAGTGAATAAGGACAAAGCACAAGGAAAGTGAACATGAAGAAAGGCAT